GGCGGCGGCGGCGGGGGTTGCCGAGGCATCAGCGGCACCGGGAGCCCCGGCGGCAGCGGGGACGCGAGAGGCAGCGGGAGTCCCGAGGGTGCCCAAGGCCATGGAGGCACCGGGAGCACCCAAGTCCCCGGGGACACCGGGGATACTGGACACGCTGGGGAAACTGGGGACACCGACATCCCCACGGAGCCCAGGAGCACCAGGGACGTGAGGAGCACCGGGGATGTTCGGCACGCTGGGGACACCAGGGGCACCCACGTCCCCAGGAACACCAGGGCTACTGGACGCACTGGGGAGACTGGGAAAGTCCCCAGGGATAACAGGAACACCAGGCATGCTGGACATAATGGGGACACTGGGAAAGTCCCCAGGGATACCGGGAACACTAGGCATACTGGACGTAATGGGGACACTGGGAAAGTCCCCAAGGGTACCAGTAGCACCAGGGGGATGACGGGCACTGGGGATGCTGGGAACCCCCTGACCATGGGGGCCACCAGAAGCCCCGTGACCCCCAGCCGCTCCCGCCGGCGCCGCAGCCCCAACACGGCGCCACAGTTCCAGCCCTCCAGCTACCAGGCCTCGGTGGGGGAGAACCAGCCGGCGGGGACGCCGGTGACGCGGGTGACGGCGGTGGACCCCGACGAGGGGGAGGCGGGCCGGCTGCACTACGCCATGGCTGCCCTCTTCGACAGCCGTTCCGACGCCCTCTTCGCCATGGACCCCGACACCGGCGCCGTCACCACCGCCACCCCCCTGGACCGCGAGAGCAAGAGCACCCATGTCTTCCGGGTGACGGCTGTGGACCACGGGACACCCCGGCGCAGCGCCATGGCCACATTGACGGTGACGGTGAGCGACGCCAACGACCACGACCCGGCCTTTGAGCAGCCTGAGTACCGGGAGAGCGTGCGGGAGAACCTGGAGGTGGGCTACGAGGTGCTGACGGTGCGGGCCACTGATGGGGATGCTGGTCCCAATGCCAACGTCCTCTACCGTCTTCTCAATGCCGGCGGCGCCAACGAGGTCTTTGAGATCGATCCCCGCTCAGGCGTCATCCGCACCCGTGGCCCCGTGGACCGCGAGGCGGTGGAGGCCTTTGAGCTCTTGGTGGAGGCCACGGATCAAGGCCAGGAGCCAGGACCCCGCAGCGCCACGGCCACCGTCCGCATCGCTGTGGAGGACGACAACGACAACGCGCCGCAGTTCAGTGAGAAGCGTTACGTGGCGCAGGTCCCCGAGGATGTGGCGCCCAACTCGGCCGTGCTGCGGGTGACGGCCACCGACCGCGACAAGGGCAGCAACGCCCTGGTGCACTACAGCATTGTCAGCGGTAACACCCGCGGCCACTTCTACATCGACGCGCAGACGGGCGCGCTGGACGTGGTCAGCCCCCTGGACTATGAGGTTAGCAAGGAGTTCACCCTAAGGATCCGGGCGCAGGACGGTGGCCGCCCACCCCTCTCCAACATCAGCGGTTTGGTCACCATCCAGGTGTTGGATGTCAACGATAACGCCCCCATCTTTGTCAGCACACCCTTCCAGGCCACCGTGCTGGAGAACGTGCCGGTGGGTTACTCCGTCATCCATGTTCAAGCCATCGATGCCGATTCAGGTGACAACGGCCGGCTGGTCTACACCCTCCTGGAGACCGGCGCCGGCTTCCCCTTTACCATCAACAACAGCACCGGGTGGATTGTGGTGGCCTCCGAGCTGGACCGGGAGGCGGTGGACTTCTACAACTTCGGGGTGGAGGCACAGGACCAGGGTAACCCCCCCATGGCCTCCTCAGCCAGCGTCAGTGTCACCATCTTGGATGTCAATGACAACAGCCCCGAGTTCACGCAACGGGAGTACAGCGCCCGCCTGAACGAGGACGCGGCGGTGGGCACCAGCGTCCTCACCGTCTCCGCTGTTGACCGTGATGCCAACAGCGTCATCACTTACCAGATCTCCAGTGGCAACACCCGCAACCGCTTCTCCATCACCAGCCAGAGCGGCGGTGGGCTCATCTCCCTCGCCCTGCCCCTGGACTACAAGCTGGAGCGGCAGTACCTCCTCACCATCGCCGCCTCTGACGGCACCCGCCAGGACATGGCCCAGGTGGTCGTCAACGTCACTGACGCCAACACCCACCGACCCGTCTTCCAGAGCTCCCACTACACTGTCAATGTCAACGAGGACCGGCCAGTGGGCACCACAGTGGTGGTCATCAGCGCCACGGATGAGGACACAGGGGAGAACGCCCGCATCACCTACCTGATGGAGGACAGCATCCCCCAGTTCCGCATTGCCGCCGAGACGGGGGCCGTCACCACCCAGATGGAGCTGGACTACGAGGACCAGGTGTCCTACACCCTGGCCATCACGGCGCGTGACAATGGCATCCCACAGAAGTCCGACACCACCTACCTGGAGATCCTGGTGAGTGACGTCAATGACAACGCACCCCAGTTCCTCCGTGACTCCTACCAGGGCTCCGTCTACGAGGATGTGCCCGCCTTCACCAGCGTCCTCCAGGTATCTGCCACTGACCGTGACTCAGGGCTCAATGGCAGGGTCTTCTACACCTTCCAAGGGGGTGATGATGGGGATGGCGACTTCATCATTGAGTCCACCTCTGGCATCGTCCGCACCTTGCGCCGCCTCGACCGGGAGAACGTGCCGCTCTACGCCCTGCGGGCGTTCGCTGTTGATAAGGGGGTCCCGGCCAAGCGGACACCGGTGGAGATCCAAGTGACAGTGCTGGACGTCAATGACAACCCGCCCGTCTTCGAGCGGGATGAGTTTGACATCTTTGTTGAGGAGAACAGCCCCATTGGGCTAGTGGTGGCCCGGATCACAGCCACTGACCCCGATGAGGGCACCAACGCCCAAATCATGTACCAGATCGTGGAGGGCAATATCCCTGAGGTCTTCCAGCTGGATATCTTCTCCGGCGAACTCACCGCCTTGGCCGACCTGGACTACGAGTCCAAGGCGGAGTACGTCATGGTGGTCCAAGCCACCTCGGCCCCCCTGGTCAGCAGGGCCACCGTCCACGTTCGCCTTCGCGACGCCAACGACAACAGCCCCCAACTCAAGAACTTCGAGATCCTCTTCAACAACTACATCACCAACCGTTCGGGCAGCTTCCCTGGGGGGGTCATCGGCCGCATCCCGGCCCACGACCCCGACGTCTCCGACAGCCTCACCTACGCCTTTGAGCAGGGGAACGAGCTCAACCTGGTGCTGCTGGACCCCCACAGCGGGGACCTGCGCCTCAGCCCTGCCCTGGACAACAACCGCCCACTGGAGGCCGTCATGAGGGTCTCCGTCTCGGGTAAGACCCCTGTCCTGGGCTGGGGTGGCTTGGAGGCCCAAGGTTTGAGGCTGGGGAAGTGTTTGTGGGTGCTCCCCACCCTTCTACATGGCCCTGAGGTGTTTTGGGGGTCCCACCACCCCATTTTGACTGCCTCCTCCAGATCTGGGGGGGCGGATGATAATGGGGATGCTGTGCCCCCCAATCCCGACATCCCAGATGGAGGCAGTTGGGGTCCCCAGCTCCCCCTTTTGCTTCTCCACCCCCAACTTCAGCCCTGGGGTGTCTGGGAGGGTTCAATAACCCAGTGCATGTTTTGGGGTGTGGGGGGGGTCAGGACCCTGTAGCAGGGGTTTGGAGGGGCAGGACCCTGTGTGTATATTTAGGGGGGGGGTCCTGGCACCTCGCTGTGTGTGTGTTTGGAGGGGGCAGGGCCCACTGTGTGTGTTTGGGGGAGGTGCAGGGCCTGTGTGTGTATTTGGGGGGGAAGAGCCTGGGGTGTGCATGGGGGGGTCCTGGTACCCTTATGTGTATGTTAAGGGGGGCCCGATGGGTGAATCTGGCGGGGGCTCAGGATCCAGTGCAATATTTGGGGGTGGTCCTGGCACCCCAACGCATGTGTTTCCAGAAGGCCCCAACACTTGTATTTGGGGGGGGCACAGGGCCTGCTCTGTGGATTTGGGGGAGTCCTGGCACCCTGGCCTCTCTATTGGGGGGGTCCCCAAACCCAGTGCATCTGTTTGGGGGGGGTCACTGGTGGGAAGGGGCCAAGGGGGGGCTGTGCTGGCGGTGCTTGGCACCTTTTGGGCTGGGGGAGCTGGCGGGGGCTGCCGGGGGGGGGTCCCCCTGCGGTGGGGGAGTGGCTCCTCAGCCTCCCCCAGGCAGGGAGGGAAACTGAGTCATGGGCCATGTCGTGATGTCCCTTGTCCCCAGCCACGTGTCCCCCATCACCTCCTGTACCCCCCCAGACCCCCTTTGGGCTGGGGTCCCTGCTCCAACTTCACAAAACGGGGGGGGGCCCAGGGCACAAAGGGTGGGGGCAGGGAGCCCCCCATGCCCAGGCTGTGCCCCCCCTCAACGCGGGGGCAGCCAGGAGGGGAACAAAGGGTCCGGCCATAGCTGGGCCCCCGCGGCCGCAGCCATG